TTTACTTTTTTAAGTAATCTCTACACCCAGTGTGGGGCTCGAACTCATGACCCTGAGATCAAGAGTTGCATGCTCCTCCAACTGAGCCAGCCAGTGTTGGATAGTGTTGGCTTTTATTATTATTATTTATTTATTTTTTTTTTAGTGTTGGATTTTATAGTTATTGTCAGGCCTACCATCAACTCCAGGATGGGGACACAGTTAGGTGAGCCCATCCTTTCTGGTTCCTTCTCCACTGTTCTGTGACTCTCTGATCCTCTACTTGGGTATCTCCCTGTGCTGAGTCATGCTGTTAGGCTCTGCTTTTTGGCAGTGCTCCTGGTATGACCTAACCTCTGGGGGTGGATGGGTGAGGGAGACATGTTGCTCTGGAGTCAGACATCCTGAATTCCAGTCTTGGCGACATCATTGAGCAAATGAGTGCATCTCTGAGCCTTACTTTCCTCCCCTATATAACCAGGATGACTGTATTTATTTGACAAGGCTGCCATGAAGATCAAACAAGATAGCACAAGAGCAGCGGTCCTACATAGGTGCTCAGTAAATGGTGCCTATTATTTTTGCAAGGCTTTATTGAACATCTGGGGAGGCTGTTGGGGAAGAGGAGACAGACGACGACTCTCCTGCATGATTAGCACTGGCCCTGTTATCCCAAGGGCATGGAGACAAGACTCTAACTCTGCTAAGCACTGGGGAGGGGAGGTTGACTAGGGAAAGAGAGCCCTGGGAGCCTTGAGGGTGCACAGAACAGGACGGGGAAGGGCGTCCTAGACTGAGGGCACAGCATGAATAAAAGCAGGGAGGCAGGAAGGAGTCTGAGGAATTGGTGAGTTCAGGTCGTTGGGTGAAGCCGCGATGAGGGTGTCATAGGCAGGTCACAGAGGGCCTTATAAGCAACCAATGAAAACCGAACTTTCCCGGGAGGAAATGAGGTGCCAGTGAAGGGCTCACACAGGAAGTGATGATCAGATTTTCATTTCAGAAAGGCTTTTTCTGGCTGCCCTGTGGAGTCTCCTGGGAGGCGGGAGGAACGGGCACACAGAGACTGACTCATGGACTCTTTTCTAATAATCCAAGCAAGAGATGACTGAGGCCCTGACTAGGGTGGCAGACATGGGATGGAGGATGGAGTCCACAGGGATTTAGAGAGAAAACCAGCAAGGGGCAGAACCAGGATCTGAACCCAGGTGGGACCACCTCTCTCTGCTGCTCCGGATGGGCCCACAAACAGCCTGGGCCCAGTGAACTTCCCCTCAACCTGCCTGCAAAACCCTTCACGAGCCGGAGAGCTGGACGCTGAGGAGTCCTGTTCAGGCTTCCACCGTAGGGAAAGAGGGGCACTTGGCCCAACACCACCCTCTGGTGGCTGAGCGTGGAGGTCACCGCCGTCAGCTGAGCACCAACCTGCCCGAGCCTGTTGCCCCCCGCCTCCTCTCTGAAGTCATCAAGCCTGAAGCCTGCCCACCCAATGAGCTCATTTAGCACCTGGGCTGTCTGGATAGATGAACCTCGCTTCACGTCTTACCTCCCCCCCCTGCCTTTAATGTTGAGTGACCTGACAAGTCACTTCCTGCCCTGGGCCTTACTCTCCTCTTCGGTAAACAGGGGGTGATGCTTCCTGCATCAGCTTGGGCCTGGCACGTGGACTGGAGCCGGCACTGTCCCATACCGCAGAGAGGCAACTTCCAGACTCTGGCCAGCGCCACTCTCTGCCCCAGGCTGGCCCTCCCTGCCCGCATTGACCCTATCCTACCCCGAAAGGCAGGGCAGGGCAGGGGCACTGCTGGCGGCTCATCTGGGTGCTGCCGGCTTCACCCCTGCCATGAGACACTAAGCCCTTGGCCACCGCACTCCCTCTCACTGAGCCTTGGCATCCTCACTAGAATCCCCGCCTCTTCGGGGTCGCACAGAAGGGGCTGTGTACAAACTGTGGTGTGCCGTGCCCTGGAGCCCCGGTAAAGACTTGCTCGAGTGCTTGTGAAGCCGTGATTGTCCCACACTGGTGTCCCTTCCGGCCTGGGCTCTTGGAAGGTGAGCTGAACTGAGGTAGAGATTTGGGGGGCAGGGGAGACTTCCCAACTGCCCTCAAAAAACCCTATAGTTACCCCCCCACACCCCCTGCTTATTTCCCTGCTTCCCCTGGAAGGTTGTTAAGATTCCAGTTAGGAGATTGGCCCTGGGAAGGGCAGGCCCTGCCTCCACTCCTCGGGACAGGGAAGGCCTGGCTATTTCCAACCACCTCATTTTGAGTAAGAGCTTTGATCCATGGCTTCCTGCCAAGATTTTGCCATTCTTTCCTGACAAACAACAAATCTCTGTTTTGTAACCTCCATTATGAAATGATCGTATTAACTACCTAATGTGTACACAGTCATTCACAAAGAAATAGCAAACATCAGTGACCCATTACCAGCATCACCCAAGGGCCCTTCTGGCTTTCCTGTGGCTTCAGACACCCCACAGCTGCCCTTACTCCATTCCTCTGTCTGGAAGGCTCGCTCACACCTCCAGCTCTCCCTTCTGGGGTCCCTGCCTCGGGCAAAGCACGTCTGCTCCCCCATCAGGTTTTTTGTTTTTGTTTTTCTTTGCTGGATGCTCCCCCTGAATTTGGCTCCTGCCCTACTGAGCTGCCCACTTGATAACAGCCATCAGAATCACTTGGGCCTCCCTTAGTGCAGGCAAGCTTC